TATATAATCTTTTTTGTTGTATTCAATTTGCTAGTATTTTGTGTGGGACTTTTGCGTCTGTATTTATCAGAGATATTGGCCTGTAGTTTTGTGTGTGTGTGTGTGTGTGTGTGTGTGTGTGTGTGTGTGTGTGTGTTATCCTTACCAGGTTTTGATATCAGGGTAATAGTTGCCTTCATAAAATGAAGGAAGTATTGCCTTTTCTCCAATTTTTTGGAAGAGTTTGAGAAGGACAGGTATTAAATCCTCTTTGAATGTTTGGAAGAATTCACTAGTGAAGCCATCAGGTCCTGGACTTTTGCTTTTGGGGATGTTTCGGGTGATAGCTTCAATTTCCGTACTGTTGATTGGTCTATTTAGATTTTCCAGTTCTTAATGATTCAGTCTCAGAAGGTTATATATTTCCAAGAACTTGTCCATTTCTTCTAGGTTATTTAATTTGGTTGCATATAGTCTTTCATAGTATTCTTGTATGATCCTTTGTATTTCTGTGGTATCTGTTGTAACTTCTCTTTCATTTCTGATTTTGTTTGTTTGTGTCTTTTCTCTTTTTTGCTTATTGAGTCTAGCCAGCGGTTTGTCAATTTTATTAATTTTTTCAAAGAACCAGCATTTTGTTGCAGTGATTTTTTTCTATTGTCTTTTTGTTCTCCATTTCATTTAATTCTGCTCTAATTTTTATTATTTATTTCTTTCTGCTGACTGTGGGTTTCATTTGTTCTTCTTTTTCTAGTTCCTTAAGATGTAATGTGAGATTGTTTATTTGAGATTTTTCTTGTTTCTTGAGATAGGCCTATAATGATATAAACTTCGCTCTTATTACCACTTTTGCTGTATTCCCAAAAGTTTTGATATGTTGTTTTGTCATTCTCATTTGTTTCTATGTATCTTTTGATATCTTCTTTTAGTTTGTCTTTGACCAAATTGTTCTTTAATAGCATGTTGTTTAATCTCCACATATTTATGTTTCTTTCCTGCTTCCTTTTTACAGTTGATTTCCAGTTGCAAAGCATTTTGGTCAGACAATATGCTTGGTATGATTTTAGTTTTCTTAAATTTGCTGAGGCTAGTTTTAACCAACGTCTATACTTGAGAATGTTGCATGTGCACAGGAGAAGAATGTATAATCTGGTCTTCTGAAATGAAATGCTCTGTAAATTGACATATTTGGTCTAACGTGTCATTTAAGACTGGTATTTTGTTATTGATTTTCTGTTTGGATGATCTATCCATAGTTGTCAATGGTCTATTTAGGTCCCCTACTAAAATTCTGTTTTGTCATTTTATCCCTTTAGTTCCGTTAGTAGTTTTACTTTATATATTTTTGGTGTTCCCTAATTGGGAGCATATATATTGGTAAGTGTTATATCTTCTTGATGTACTATATCATATTATCCCGTTTATCATTATGAGATATCCATCTTTGTCTCTTGTTACCTTTTTTATCTTGAAGTCTGTTTCGTGAGATGGCTACTTCTGCTTTTTTCTGTATGCCATTTGCTTGAAATATCGTTTTTCACCCCTTGAGTCTATATTTGTGCTTGCAGCTGAGATGTGTCTCTTGAAGGCAGCATGTGGTTGGGTTTTGTTTTATATGCTGATCACTTAGGCTGGGGCCACAAACAGTGCACCTGCAGCCTGAATTCTCTTCTCTCCCGGGACGAGCACTGAGCTCCATTCTGCCTTGGCAGCACCTGTCTCTTCTCTTCTCCCTTCCCTCCTCCCTTTTTTGCCCCGATTCGCCCACCTTCAAGGATGTTTTGATGCGTGGATATCTCAGACATGTTTGTGTGTTGAGCATGGAATCCTATGTTGAATTGTAGCTATTCAACTTGTTGTAACTTCAAGAGGAGAGATCGGAGGACCTCTCACACTGCCATGCTTCTGACATCACTCTACCATTTCTTTTAAAAATAGTTTTGTACCTTAAGTTCAAATAGTCTTTGCTATCTAGTTGTTTAAATTATTTTTGAAACTCATGAGTGGAAGAGAGGGATAAGGTGACTAGAAATGGAAAAATATTCAGTTGTTAATCTATCTTGTCATGTTGTCTTTGCTTGACATTTTAGGTGTATTTTACTTTGAAAAGAATAGAAATAAATGAGAGGCACAAGCTTAGAGACCTTCACCTAATGAAAAAATCCAACACTACATACACTATTTCTAAGAAAAAATTGAATTCCAACATTAATAGAGATACTAAGCCATATTATATGTAACAAGAGATACAACATTATTCTTGCTACCTATAATTATCACTGGTTTGTGATTAATTTCTTGATTTTTTTGTTGTTGTTCTTAAAAATGCTTTAAGTATTTAAGTCTTCTTGAGCAAAATATTCATGGTATAGGGAAAGCATTTATAGTTATTGATAATTTGGGTCTATATCATGAGAGTCTGTTGTTCTTTCTCTTTTAAATATGAAAATGCCCCTGCCCCCTTTTTAGGACAGAAAGAGTTTCTCCATCCAAACCTTCCTTTGGGGTCAGTGCAGGTGAAGACAGTGGCATTACCATTGCACTTACGTATGCCTCTAAAGCATAGGGCAAGGCCCAATGCATCTCTTCCCTCATCTTCTAACTCAGTATCACTTTGTAGCAGTGGAAAGAATAAAAGGGGTGGGGTAGAATTCTAGGATTCATGTGGTTCTGAGTACTGGCTGCGTCACTTATTACCCAAGATCTTAGAAAAAAAAATCACTTAAATGTTTTGAGCTTTAATTTTCTCAACTGTAAAATAAGAAAAGAATAGTCACCTTGTAAGTCTCTTTGGGTGGTGAGGGACTGAGAGAGAATGAAGATTCCTTTAATTTAATAAAATTTTATATTTTTTTAATGTAAGTGATATTAGTATTCTATCAGATGTTCCTTTGATTGTAAGCTGCTTGTATTTTCCTTCTAGGGTTGACAACTTTGGCTTGGGCCTTTTACTTCAATCCAAGCAGATAAAACGCATGGTTTCTTCGTACGTGGGAGAAAATGCAGAATTTGAACGACAGTACTTAGCTGGTGAATTAGAAGTAGAGCTGACACCTCAGGTAAGAACATTTCTCTGCTTTTACAGTACTAACTTATTTTTAAAATTTATCTTTTTCTCTCTAGAAGTTTCTTTGTGCAAGAGAGGTAAGGCAGAGAGGATATTATTTTGTCAAACCAAGGAAGTTTGTAGGTTACACCTACACAGGTCTAATATATTCTGTTGCTATGCACTGGAAAATGAGGTATTTCTAATAATAATATCTAGGCTACAGGATAAATTTTCGAGTTTGGCACTGTAATGTATATAATACTAGAAGCATGCAAAAGGGCTTGCAGAAATGTTTGAGGATTGTCCTAAAAGTCAATTCCTATGAATCACAGGATTAGAACTCTGTGAGGAATCTGTTGTTGCTGAGACATATCAGGAGAGTGACGCCCTTGGAGGGTAAAACTGGCTATATCACAGAGTAAGTGATGTGGGACCAAAGCCCAGGTCTCCAGGGAAATGATGTCATTACAAAGCAAGCAATTACTGAAATTAATCTAGCAAGTTTCCACTCATTTTCTACATTGTCTCCTAAGTGACCAAAGAGTTTATCATAAAGGTATGCAAACTTGATGAGGGCATTTGTGTAAAACGATGATCTACAGGTTGTATGTGTCGGTCTTCCACTTTGTCGTGGGCTCTGAAACCGAGCCCACTAGTCTGCTTTACTTTTGTCAGCTGAAAATTTTATTACCACTGACTTCACCAAACTGGTAATAATGTAATGCAGCAGAATTTTATGAAAAAATTGCAGTAATTAAATTACAGTATATGTTTGTCTAGAGCAAACATGAGTGGGGGAAATGTTCTTTCTACAGGAGGCTTCACAGTCACACCTTGATTACTTTACAGTGTTGGCACCTAGCCTTATCATAGCATTGCTCTATGCTTGGTATTTACTCTTCATTTAAAGTTTTATTTTATTTTATTTTTTTAAAGATTTTATTGGGGAATTGGGGGAAGGGAACAGCGTTGGGGAATCAGGGAAGGGGAACAGACAAGTTGCTGTCCTTTGATCTTCAGTCTAGTTGTGGAGGACATTGCTTCACTGGCCCATGTTGGTATTATCATTGCACTCTTCCCGGGTGAGGCAGTTGCTTGCCAGCCATTGGACGGCTGCTGTCAGCTGCTCATGCTGGCTGCCAGCCACTCATGGTAGCTTACAGCAGCCCACTGTCACCCCACTGCAGACTATGCCACTGCCGGCGACTCACGGCAGCCCAGCTCCAGGTCGAGCTGTTGTTCACCATCTTAGCTGCAGAGGACGCAGAATCACTGGCCCATGTGGGATCCGAACCGGGGTCCTGCTGCTCAGAACTGGCATCCCAAGCCAACTCTTAACCAGCGCGCCACTTGGCTGGCCCTAAAGTTTTTTTTTTTAAATTAACAAAAGGTATACTGTCTTAGTCTGCTTGTGATATTATAATACCATAGACTAGGTGGCTTACACAATACAAATTTGTTTCTTAGTGTTCTGGTGGCTGCGAAGAGCAAGATCAAGGTGTCAGACTGATTTGATTCTTGATGGTGGTAGGGTAAGGGAGAGGAAGAGGGAAGGGGAGAGAGAAGTGGTGGGGGGGAGAGAGAGAATGCGAATGCCCATGCAGGTGAGCACACAGGGGCTTCTTTTTATAAGAACACTAGTAATTCTATTGGATCAGGACCCTANCTTAGTAATGTAGATAAAGATACCCAGAAAAATTGCAGTCATACTTTGAGTGCTTGCTAGAAGTTAAAGCATTAACTTTCTGAGAAAAACATAGGCAGAGAGAGAGAGAGAATGCGAATGCCCATGCAGGTGAGCACACAGGGGCTTCTTTTTATAAGAACACTAGTAATTCTATTGGATCAGGACCCTACCATTATGACCTCATTTAACCTTGATGACTTCCATAAAGGCCCTGTCGCCAAATATAGCTACATTGGGGTTTAGGCTCCAACATACGAATTTTGAGGGGACATAATTCAGTCCACAGCATATACTTTTCTTCTTCACATTATAGGTTGAGATACATTATTCTTCAGTTTTGGAGCTATTGAAAATTAACCTTTATATCTTTGTATTACTCCTTATTGTGTCAGAGGGCATATACCAGTACATGGGGGAGGAACTTCCTTAATATTTCTTTTATATTCTTTCTTTAAGCTGAAAGAGGTCAGTGTCTCCCTCCCCAACTTGGTGGCACATAAATAAACACTGGCTCTGGTAACTTGTTTTGCAGCCTGAGAGCCAGGAAGAAGGATTGGGACTCCCCTTGGTGGTACCTTCAGAGGGCCTATCTGCAGAAATACGTATTCTATGTTCAAGCCCTTGCTTAGTTGAACATAGAGAAGGAGTAAAGCATTCAGGGTGGGTGGACATAAAAAGCATTTTAAACTAGGGGTGTTATTATGGATCATTGATGATTGAATTTTTGTGAATGTTGTTAAAAACCCACAACATAAACAGTCATCTATATCTATTGGATAGAGTAGAAAAGTAGTCATCTGGGAGATTTTCAGTTATGCCACAAGTCCGTCCTTACCCAGATAATCCCATGTACTTGAATGACTCAACGTTTGAAATCCCAATAATTAGTCCCTTCTTTGAGTTTAGTATTTTAAGGCCCCAGTTCAAGTAGAAGATTGTTTTCAGGTTGGGATAATATTAACATACTGTCATGACTACCTTACTACTGATTAGCCAGTCAGTTATCTAGTACGAACATGATGTTGCCTGACCATAACAATAGGTTTCAGTGTTAGGGAGGGTGTCAGGGAATGTTCAGGGCCAGAGTCATTCCTCTGTGGGCAAACTGGGTGGAAAGGCAGTTGGGGGAAATTAGGTCTGAAATCCCTGGCACCTAGGAGGGAATGGAGATAATCAATAGAAGATAAAAAGAAACTGCTTACAGCTGTTTCTACTTGGAAGCAAAGTTTGAAGTACTCTTGGCTTTTATTGTAAAAACCAATTTACCTGTATGTTGTACTCTTTGCTTAAATTTGGATTTTTTCCTTAGTTAGATAATATAATACATAAAAAACTTATGAGAACGGTTTAGAATAAATTCTAAATAAGTTTGAACATTTTACATTATTATTATATAATAATTACTTATTATTACTAATGAGATTCAGGCCAAACCTATATACAGCACACAGTAAACCACAAAATTTAATGTTTTTTAATGTATAGTTCAAGTTACACAGTTCAGATTTGAAAATTGTTTTAAAAATATTACAAATAGACTGATGCAGAATATGATGTCAAGAAACCCGTGGAAGACGTAAGCTAAAAACATGATTATACAAATAAGCAGTTACATTTTCAAATGTGGATTAAGAATAGGTTGTTTTCTAGAGAGACAGTAATTGTTTTAAATTAATGCTAGCATACAGTGTTAGTGAAATACACCAATGTATATGGTAAGTACTGTTTAGAATGATAAACCTCGGGAGAGTCTAAGTGTTTCTGTGTTCACATACAGAAGTGTGCTTACTGACCTTTTTATGGAGTGTTGCTTGCTCACTTGTAGGGCACACTTGCAGAGAGGATTCGTGCAGGTGGGGCTGGAGTTCCCGCATTTTACACCAGCACAGGGTACGGGACCCTGGTACAAGAAGGAGGGGCACCGATCAAATACAACAAAGATGGCAGCGTTGCCATTGCCAGTAAGCCAAGAGAGGTAAGCGCTCTTATCCAGGTAATACCGGGGCACTTCTTTCAGCCTAGGATTCCAGGTGGGCTCATTGGGTAAAGAGGTGTGAAATCACCTCTGTGGAAGAATAAGCATTGTCATTCATTACCATAAATGTTAGGTAACATTTCAAGCTAAAACTGAGCACCTGCTAGTAATTAAAATCACATAGAGAAGCCAGAATTAATATGGGAAAAGAACCTGAAATTCATATAAGACACACGAGTCAGGATAAGTTATCAAACGAATTTTATGGGTAGACTTTAACAAATTTAGGAGCCTTTATAATTGCTGGTTATGCTTATGTGGAAAGTAGAGTAGATGGCTAATATATATGATATTAAACTCTTCATGCTCAGGGCTCTTCTGGATATGATTGAAGGATGAAGGCAAGCCAGAGAAATCACAAGTTTGTTTACAATCTTAAAAAGCAGGGGACAGTGATATTTATATAGTGGAATAAATAGAGCGTTCACATTATCTCCTTTATCCTTCATTTTGTATACTGGACACACTTGAGCTTTAGCCTGAATAACTTAATTGTTTTTTCTTTCAGTAATTTATTTTTTTATTGTGAAATAAACATTGTTTTAAATTAGTTTCCGCTGTACAATACAGTGCAATAGTTATACTTTTTACCCCTCAAAGTGACAACCCCCCTCCCCCAATCTGCCACCCCACTCCCCTGCCCCAATATCATACGTATCTAGTACATTCCCTTGACTTTAATAACTTAGTTTTATTTAAAATGCTAGATAGGATGGGGTACCTTTATACTAGGTCATTGCACTCATGCATTAGAAAAGAGTAGAATTTTGGATACAGGTATTTGAAATACTGAGATTTGAGCCAACTTTTGAAATTACACAGGCCAATATTTCATTACTGTGTTTTTAGACTCTTGGCCTTCTCCCTGCCCACATGGCTCAGGAAAGTTAACTCCGGTTGTAGAAGTTATGAGCTGATCTCGACGGAAGTGAAAACTTAGCATCAAGGGATGATCTCTTTTTTTTTTTTTTAAAGATTTTTATTGGGGAATTGGGGGCATGGGAACAGTGCTGGGGAATTGGGGGAAGGGGAACAGACAAGTTGCTGTCGTCTTGTTCTTCAATCTAGTTGTGGAGGATGTTGCTTCACTGGCCCAAGTTGGTACCATCATTGTGCTCTTCTCTGGCGAGGCAGATCAGTGCCGGCTTCTGGACGGCCGCTCACTGCGGCTGCTGGCCGCTCACGCTGGCTGCTGGCTACACACGGTAGCCCATGGCAACCCACTGCGACAGGGACTGCAGCCTACGCCGTCGCCGGCGACTCATGGCAGCCCAGCTCCAGGTCGAGCTGTTGTTCAGCATCTTAGCTGTGGAGGGCAGTGTCACTGGCCCTCATATGTGGGATCCGAACCGGGGCCCTCTGGCGTCCCAAGCGAGTTCTTAACCATCGCGCCACTCGGCCGGCCCAAGGGATGATCTCTTACTCACCTCTCTGCTTATGGAGATGTGAGCTGTTAGCTGTGCGCCTCCATGTTTTGAGGGCGGGTAAAGGGTCACTGAGCATGTCCCCTGCTGTTCACTGTTCTCTGCAGCAGCAGCCTCCATTTGGAGCTTCACCTTTCTGCTTAAGGTGACCTATATTAACGCCAAGCTTTTATTAAAATAAAAATATATATCTTCTCTTGCTTCTTCCTTTGCTGCCTAATTATGTTTAAAAAGTCCTTGACAAAATAAAAGACAAGAGTCTCATTATTAAAATGGATCTTAGTAATGTAGATAAAGATACCCAGAAAAATTGCAGTCATACTTTGAGTGCTTGCTAGAAGTTAAAGCATTAACTTTCTGAGAAAAACATAGGATACACTGGAATCTGTCCTGAATATCTGGGGTTCATTTTGCGTAGAGTCAGGTGCGTGAACCTAGTAGTGTTGTATGAATCCCCTAAGAATACGACACATAATTTCTTGAAACAACTCACGTTAGCTCTTTATGTCCCTTGCTTATTGTAGGAAGAGGTGGTGACTGATATTTATTGAGGTCCCGCTCTTTCCCAGGCAGTGCTCTCTGTATGGTGGAAAACATGATGTAGACCAAGTGCCCCTGTAGTGGAGGAACCGACAAGGGACTGAATAAGCAAACATACATGTCAATACTGAATGTTCTGTGAAGAAAAATCAAGCAGGGTAAGGTCAGACAGGGTGATCAGTGGCCAGGGAGGTGGTGTTCCAGACCGGGTCAGGGAAAACCTCTCTGTGGAGGTGACATTCGGCAGAGACCTGAATAAAATAGAATGAGCAGGGCAAAGATCACAGGGTTGTGGAAGATCTGAAGGAAGAAGAAGGAGAAGGACAAGGCCCTGAGGCAGATATGCCCCGTGTGTGGAACAGCAGGGCTGTGAGACTGGAACAGAGTAAGTGAGGCAGAGGGTGGTAGGATTGGAGGTTGTAGAGAGGCAGGAGCCAGTTCACATGAGCTTGAATTCTACTGAGTACGATGAGAGGCCAACAGAAAGTTGCTGGGAGTGATATGATCTGATTTACATTTTGGCAAGTTGTAGCTTTTGGGAGGCAAGTTTTTTTGTACAGGACCAAGAGCAGAAGCAGCATGAAAAATTAAGAGGCTGTTGTATTTTATCCAGATGGGAGTGTAGGGTGGCTTAGACTAAGGTGGTAACAGTGGAATTTGTGAGAAATGGTTGAAATCGGAATATATGTTGATGGTAAAGCCAACAGGATTTACTGATGAATTGGTTGTAGGGCGTTAAGAAAAGACAAGAGTCAAGTATGCTGCTAATTGAGATGGGCTAAGCGTGGGGGTAATCGAAGAGCTCTGTCAGAGACTTGGTGCATCTAAGACATCCATTAGTCTCCAAGAGGTGCTCAGTTGGCTCCAGCTCGGGGAGGGTTTAGAGCTGGGATGGGAACTTCGGAGGCATCAGCATATAGTATTTAAATCTATGGGACTGGAGGAGTGGCTAGGGCTGGAGAGCAGAGAGAGAACATCTATTTTGCATTTAAAAGTTGAGAAGAGGTCTCTGACATTTAAAGGTTGGGAAGAGGAAAGGGAACAGGAAAAAAGAATTGGAAAGAGTGTCTAGTGAGTGAAGCAGAAATCCAGGGGAGTCTGGTGATTTGAAAAACAGGAAATTTTACAAAGGAGGGTGTGATCAAATGTGTCAAAGAGTGTGAAGAGGTAAGGTAATAGAGTACTGGGCATTGACCATTGGATTTGGAGACATGGAGGTCATTGGTGACCCTAAAGAGCGATTTTTCTCGAGTAAAGGATTTTTCTGGAGTGGTAAAAATTTAATGGGAGTGGGTTGAAGAAAGGACTGAAAGATGAGGAAGTGGAGACTGTGAAATGCAGAGCTCTTTTAATGTATAGTAGCTAGTTTGACAAAAAAATTCCTTCCCTTTTAACATTCTAGAATAGCTAACACTCAGTGACTGCTAGTCTGTCGACCCATCAGGAAATTATATAATTGGATGAGAAAAAGAAGCCGTTTTTTTTTTTTTTTTAACTTTGCCCTGGGTTAGTATATATTCAGATTTACATGTAGTTTTCTGGATCTGTATGTAAAATACCCAGTTATCATTATTGGTGTTTAACGTAATGACTTTGAAATACATAAGATTCTTTAAGAAACTGTATATTGATGTGCATCTTATAAATACCTTTTATAAAATTTGTCTGAGTTCATTAATAAGATCCTCATTCATCAGTGATTCTGTAAATTCATGAATCTTTTCTAGCAGGAAAGTGGGATAATGTATTTAAGCAAGCTGCTCTTTAAGAAAGGATTTCTGTTTTAAACCATAGTTAAAGAAAAGTAAAAACACCCGGACTTTCTACTGAAACTTTCTAAACCCATGCAGTGTGTCCACTAGGGGGTGCAGTAGGAATGGGAATGGAGTTCTGCCTTCCAGTTGCTCCCATCCTGTGTAGTGATGGAGCACAGTTTTGATGTGTCCATTGCTGTGGCATAGATGGGCATTGAGTTTCTTCTATTCTCCACTCTCGTTCCTTATTCGTTGTAGAATTAAAGGCAATAACATATGAAAATCAATAGCATTCCATTAGACCAGTAATGTCTGAAGAGAAGATGTAATAGAATAAAATGTAACATTCATAGCAGCATCAGAAACCATGAAGTACCTATGACTAAAGCTAAAAAATATATACAGAGCTTTTTTTTTGGGGGGGGGTGGAGAATTTATAAAACTATTGAAGAAGGTAAAAGAAGACTTCAAAAAATACAGGCATATGTAATACTCATGGTTTGGAAGATATGGCATGTCAGTTCTTGCTAAATAAATATGCAAATTCTAGAAATCCCAATTAAAATCTCAACAGGTGATTATAGATTTATTAAAAGAGGTGGATTTTTATAACTATTTTATATATGAAAACAATGCATTAGCCACTTCATGCACCTGTATAGTTTTTTTCTGGGGTACAGGGTAAGAGGGACTATTTTTCATGTTCAATATATAACCTATGCACACAAGTAATAAAGTGAATACTAACATGCACAGTCTATGCTTCAGGCATATAGAACTTGCAGTTCCTCAGCTTTACCGAGCTCTCTTTTGTCGCTGAGCCTTTGAACATGCTGTTCCCTCTTCCCTTTCCACCCTTCCACCACTTTGACTAAGTCCTGGTTGCCTACCATTACTCATCTTTGAGGTCTCAGTTTTGGTTCTTCTCCCTCTGAGAAACCTTCCCTGACTAAGATTGTGTCCCTGTTATCTGCCCTTATCAGAGCATATATCGTAACCAAACAAGAGCTGTGCAAATACCTGACTATGCCCTTTTTGTCTCTTGCAGGTGAGAGAGTTTAATGGTCAACATTTTATTTTGGAGGAAGCAATTACCGGGGATTTTGCCTTGGTGAAAGCCTGGAAGGCAGACCAAGCAGGAAACATAATTTTCAGGTAGTGTGATGTCTTTAAAAAATATGAATGCAACGCATCTCAGCAACTTTATATTTCCTAAATTATTACCAAATGGATATCTTGATGTGTTTGGTATTTAAAATTCATTTAATAAATGACTGAAAATCAAACACACCTACGTGTATGTGTAATAATACATGTGTGTGCTGTGCTGCTGTTATGCAGTCTTGCAGGTATAATGTACTTGTGGGAGTCTGTGCTGATTGGTTGGCATCCATGTTGCACAGCTTGTTAAATATTTGAATCTACATAGTCTTGTATATAGTCACATACAAATTATTTTTCCCCTGTGTGTTTTAGTTCCCAAGACCAGTTACAATGTTGACATGCTTAGAGAACATGACAAAAGAACATAATTATATTTCATTTTGGTATTGTGATTTGCATGCGTTGTTTTAAAATGCCTGTTACTTTGATATTCTAGAAAGATATTGCTAATAATTATTTAGGGCAGTTTTTTCCAGTACTATTGGTGTCTAGTAGGAAATGTTTATAAAAAGCTTTTGTCTGAAAAATTGATTCACCGTAATAATGCTGAACATGCATTCTCACTATGTGGATAGCCACAGGTATTAAGCCACAGGCTTAATAGATTTTAAGATCTTTTCATTACCCACAGCAGACTAAATACCAAGCATTTAGTATCTTGGGTTTATAGATTATATAGCTGTTTTTTTAATTATGCCACCTTTTAATACACACAAAAATTTAAAAAATGTTTTCTAAAATATTTGATATTAAAAGCTTCATCTGTTAGGTTACAGAAATCATTTTCTTTCTCATAATGTTGTCATTTAGTGCTTTTTGTTAGCAATTTTTTATCTTTAGCAAACGTATCTGTGATGCAATCACAATTAAATTCTCCGTGACCAGTCTCATGTTGTTTTTGTTCTTTCTGAAGAACATATAATATTAATACTGTTTGATTTCTTGACTTCAACTATTTTTTGAATTACAGCTAATTTTGGCAATTACAAAAGACATTTTGCATCATTCTATCATATGGTATAATGTTTACAAGGTGTAGTTGCTTTTTTTAAAAAAAATAGTAATGAAATTGTATAGAAACAAAAGGAAATGGATTATTTAAAATATTTCCATGAGTTTATTCTGTACTCCATTGCCTGGCTCTGGTATCTAAAGACTTCACAAGGACTGTTCTAAGCACAGACTTTATGTTTGTGGTTCAGATAAACATCGAGCTTTGATGTGAAATGAGAGTGCTGCTCACCAGCGGTCAAGTGCCCTTGGTTCTTAAGATACTGACTTCTGGGACAACCTTCACGTTTAGTGGAACAACTGGTACAGAGGTCTGTCTGGACCATTATTAAAGTGGGAGAGCCCTACATCCCTTCACCTTTGGCCACTCTGCCCTTGGAGCTTTTGATGCTGGGCCTCTGGAGGAATCCAACAGAATAACTTGTGAAAGTACCCAAGGACTCCTCTCTCAAGGACATGCCTATCCTTGAATCTAAGTGAAATAAGCATTGGTGGACTACAACACTAGTAAAACATAGCTGTGACTTATTTCCCTTTACCAAAGACATTTTCCTATCAACTCACACTCTCAGAAACAAAAAAATATTTACATTTTTATGGTCAGAGGAAGTGCATTAATTTAGGAACTTGGAAATGGAAAACCATCACAAAAATTGGCACCTTCTTGAAATTTTTATACCTCAGGGTCTGATGGTGGGTGTGTACTTTCATAATTTTATTAGAAATTATTTCCCCACAATGATCTTTATAGGTGACTCACAGATTACCAGTGAATGTTTCATTTAATTTCAGCAATAGGCTTCTCTTGAGTAAAGAACATAATTACATAATTACTATCCCTTCTCATATGAAACACTTGCTACTTTTTCTTAAAATTTTAATAAGAGCAAATTTGTTGAAATATTTAACTATAGAAAAGAAGTGGCATCCCGGTTAAAAGATTTAGGGAAATTAATTTTACATAGATTTGTTAATATCCATTTTATTTTTCTGTCTACAATCTATATGATGAACATGAAAAACAGTCTCTCTCTGAACCTCATAAAAAACTATAATTGAAGTGGGTATCGTACTATTTTTATTTATGAAATAATCATAAAACTTTATAACAGAAAATATGATATACTCTTTTTGAAAAGATTCACAAAGTCTTAGTTCATAGAAATTCTTTTAATCTATAATTAAAGAGACACTTCTTGTTTTTTTTTTCTTTTTTCCCCTATTTTCTTATTTTCCCCACCCCTAATGTAGGAAGACTGCACGAAATTTCAACTTGCCGATGTGCAAAGCTGCACAAACCACGGTGGTAGAGGTAAGAGGAGAGGTTATCGCTGATTTCCTGATGTTACATTTTTAACTTGATGTTGTATATTAATTCAAGAGAAAGTACAACAGTTCATTTGGTTTTTTTTTGGAGGACAAGCAATGACAGCTTTTCTGTTTTGAATATGGAAGGATTTGATTTAAATATATAATAGTAGACATTTTGCTGTAACATTCGTTTTCTGGTTGCTCGAGTCTCACTAGAGTACTTTCTTTGGGACTCAAGCTATGATGGGACCAGCTTTTGAAAGTCCTTTGATACTTGAGTAAAATAGATCTTCTTGAATGAAATCGCAAGATGAATTTTTGTATTCAGAATCCCAGGAAAATAGTAAGTTTTATCAGGAGAAGTTCATTATCTTCCTGTGTTAGATACTATGAATTCTTTAAGGAAGAAAGAGGATGATACAAATAATTGTTTGATGGGGTTCTATTCAGAGCAGTTGAATTAAGGTACTAACAGACTCTTTTTTGGACATCTCAGAATTTGGGAGAGACTTGAATAATTCTAAAACTTTCCAAGGGTTAAACCCCTGCCATTTTGGTTATACACAGTTGAACCCAAAAGGAGACTTTAAAATGATTCCTAACTCAAAGCTTTGAGGATCACCTTGGAACTAAATTTTCATGGTAGTTTGAGATCGTTTTCCCTTGAGAGGGATTTATAAGAACCTATCTTGGGATCTGGAAGTGAGAATGTATATTCTTGACCTTTCTCGTGATAGTAGTGTTGTATGTGACATTCTTTGATTCTTTCATACACTTGGCCAAGATGGTATTTCATGGTGGCAGTGCAGTTGTATTTTTGAAACAATCGAATGTTAGAGTTCTATTTTTCTCTTTGAAAGTGAAGTGGATTATTTTTAAAGTGCTGGGGGATGTGGTATTTTCGACCTAGGCATGGTGGTTTCTTTTGCAAGGGCTTTAGTATATTTTCTTAATTTAAAATGGATAATGTGGTTTACTCTCTCTATGTAATGTTTTTTTTAATTGAATCATCTTAATAACCTGTCCACGGCACACATCTGTAACATTACTGAAGAAAGGCCTGTAACATAGCTTAAAATAATTGATAGTTTAGCACTCTATTGATTATACATACTTCTGTAAACTGCTGGAAATCAATATTTCTTCTCTGAGTACCAAGGGGCATTATGCATTCTTCTGGGTAAAGTTCTCTTTTTTGTCTTCTTTTATAACCTGGTTCTTTTCAGCCAATCTTATTTCTTTCAAGAGCAGAAGTTCTCAAGTACCTGAGAATCACTGTAGATATTAGAAAGAGAGGTTCTCTTTTGGTGTAAAGGAAGGGGAGGTAAAATCCTTTAACTGAGCCTGCAAATACAATTAAGGCTTGTTCCTTATACTAGAACACACATCTCTGATCCATCACAGCACAGTCTTTCCTGTTAAGGCCAGACTTCCATTCGAATTCCTTTTAACCCAGTGCTGCAGACAGTCATTCCAAGTTGATTAGACCTGCACTGTCCAACATGGTAGTCACCAGCCACATGTGACGTAAAGTTTAAATGAATGAAAATTAAATAGAGTAAAAATTTGGTCTCTCTTCAGTAGCCACATATGGCTACTGACCACTGTGTTGATCACCATCAATATAGAACATTTTATTGGACAGAGATTAATTAGAAGGATCAAGATAAAATCTAATTTGTCATTCTAATTTAGGAATATAAGCAAGACAGCTACCTAGACGATAGATTATTGTAAGCCAACCCCCTGTGCATCGTTATAGAAGAGGTTCACATGCCCGGGGGTTGAATTGTAAGAACTGTGTGCTTGAAAGTAGAAAAGACTTTGGAATTAGGGATAAAGAGTAGATTGGGTGTTTTCTGATAAGAGAAGTCTATTTTGACCTTATGACTTTGGATTATTCTGAGTATAGTGAATACCCTGGACCCTGCTCCTTTTCTGTGCTATGTCTGTGCAGGCCATGACCTGCATGGGCCTCTAGGAGTCTATAATTCTCGGCCTCAAGCCCTGTCCTGCTTTATTTTACAGTGGTCCTAGGAGGATGGATGATAATGAGCTGGTTTCTGAAGGGTGGTATTTAAGAGGATTCTTCAGAGATCATGAATTACCTGCAGATTCTCCTGCCTGCTAAATAGAAACAATAATAATAGCTACCATTAATCAAGTATTCATTATATATTAGTCATGGCAGTATTCCTTGTGTACCTTATTATGATTTTAATCTGCACAATAGTTCTATAAGGTAGGAACCATTACTATCCTCGTTTTACAGATGAGGACTTTAAAACACCCCATGTCACACAGCTAGACGCAGCTAGCTTAGAACCATAGAAAGACTGATCCCAAGGTGTCTCCTTTTTTTGCATTATTTTGTGAAGTACTCTCAAATCATCATACATGGATGCTGTTTCAAACTCTTGAAACATACTGAAAATCTACAGATAAGCTATTTCAAGGCGAACTATTAGAATCAAGCAGATATGGAGTTTTTTGGCCAGCATATTCCTCTATCCCTGGTCTTCCTTGCCAATTATTCCAATTGTGGTCTTTTTTCCTCCAGTACCTTCTACCTTGGGGGTGGCTTTGAGAAAAGCATTATCCTATGGCCAGTAGCCCTATGGGTTCATTCAGTCTTTCTCTTGGACTCTCTTCATTCTATGGTGTAGACTCTTTGAACTTTGCAGCTTTTCACAAATTTTCCAAAACCTGGTGATTGAATGTCTATTCTAGTACTTCAGTATCTTAAACAGTGGGAACTAAAGCAGTGACTGTACCCTACATCTCAAAAACTCTTCTTTTTTTAGAACTCTCAGCTTATCTACTTTTTCTTATAGAAGAGGACATGGAGGACTTTTTAGAAGCAGAACCTGGGTTATTACAGCCTGTCTACTGCAGCTCCATGCCACCCTACAATGCTGTATCTTATCAACCTTTGTCCCTATTTATATCCTTTAATTAGAGTTTTGAGGAGGTCAAAATTATACTCATAAATACCTAAAATACTAATGATGATTCCCTTAGACATCTTAAAATTTTTGGTCTTAGAAGTAGGCTGGCAAAGGGACACAGAAGGTGCCTCTTGCTTTTTTATGTCAACAAATAAACCAGTATGTTTATCTTGAATTCAAGAAAATGTCAAATTTGCCATTGACGTAAATTATTTCCAGCTTCTGTTAAAGCAGAACCTTACTCTTTTTGGGAAAAGTTTTCCTTTTCAGATGTGTCCTAAACAAACATACGAGTTGTGTGAAACAAAAGAGATTATCAATTATGTCTGTTTTCCCCCATCACCAAACCAATATGAATATTGCATTTGTATTTCTTAAAACCTGCAGCCATTTGCATGCCTCACCACAAAGTTGTGACCTAGTAAATGCTGGTTATATCTTTCTCTCCCTTTTAAGGAACTGGGTAGTTACTTGAGAAAAATAAGTACAAGTGGGTGCACATATTGGCACACATGCCAGAAAGATGTTTCTCTTTTTAACCCAGACAGTGTTATTTCTGGACCTCCCTCTCTCTGAGTGGGTGAAGCCTTTCCTGGTAAATTTCACAAGTTTAAGTGTAAAGCAGCCAGGGAATGACTCTCAGCAGGGTGTTTGGGTGTGTAATAAGGAGCAGCAGGACTGTTCAGTTTTCCGAGGGGAATTCATTTCGCTTCTGGAGGGATCTCATTAACCCTCTTCCTCTGCCCATCTCCTGGGTGCATATTCCACCATCCTGGGCTTCTTTGAGAAGTGAACTGTCTCTACATTTTTTAAGAGTAACCTACATTTTTTCATGGAAAACCTAGGCAGAGGGGCGGGATTGCTTCACGCAGGAGACTGTTGATACTTTGTCTCTTTGCAAGCACTTGCCTGGCACGCCGGCGCTGTCAGAAAAGGTCCTCTCACTCAGCTGCTGAAGGCTGTGGAGGCTGCGTGTGACCGAAATGAACCAGCTGGTGTTCTCAGGCCTGTTAGAAGACAGCAAGGTTTACACAAAGCTTTTACAACTAGTCAGCTAATTTCAGTGTTTGGTTAAAATAAGTATATTCATGATCACAACTTCAGTAAAGTGATTTTACTTATGGCATATTTATATATTTGCTTATGAAAGAATGGTTTATATTATATGGTATTTGATGCACACAAATATTATGTACATGCAGCCCATGTGGGTTATGAGACATAATAATAAATTGAACACCTGCGAACTCACCTAACATAAGAATTAGAGGATTGTTCATACTTATTTTCATCCATCTGCCTCTCCTGCAGTTAACCACTATCAGGAATATTGTGTTCATCAATCTCTTGCTTTAAAAAGAAACCTACAATAAGTCATAAGGGATGGACATATGAAAAATTATTTTCCAAAGTGTTATCCTAAGATTTTGTTACAGAAGCCAAGCTTTGGAAAGAACTGTGACTTCTATGTTCTGTACTGATGCCTGGCACATGGCATCTCTCTTTAGGAGATTAACTAGAGGAAAGTATTAGGGGGTACATCTGCCATCCTGCCAAGCAGAAATGTGTTGTTTCTGATTGATGGGTGAAGAAAGGTAAAGACTTCAGTGTAAATGATATTAAAAATTTCTGTATTTAATGTTTATTTTGAAGGGTGATGAACATGCACAACAGTAAGCAGGAGTGTATGTAATGAACCCTTCTGGCTTATCACCCAGCTCCAGTGGCTGGCCCATGGTCGGGCCTGCCCCGTCTACAGCCCTCTCTCTTTCTTTCTCCTCTTGTATTATTTTTGAACAAGCACCAGACTATGTTAATGACTTTTTAAGGCAAGTTCAGTGAAGCTGAGACATTCTAGTGTGCCAGGCAGGCACTGTTCTAGGTTCTGGAGATAGAGCAATGCATGGAAAAATCCCCGCCCTCACAGAGATTACATTCCGATGGTCAAAGTAGGCAATAGATGCAATAAATAAATAAAATATATAGTGTACTAGATATTGATACATATCAAGAATGATAAAAACAAAGGATGAGGAAGGACATGAAATGTCAG